TGTAGGAAACTCTTGTCGGACACTCTGGTGGAACAGTCTTGTGGGACACTCTTGTCTGACACTCTTGGCGAACACTCTTGTGGGACACTCTTGTAGGGCACTCTTGTACGCTTTTGCGGGACACTCTTGCGGAACAATTTTGTAGGACACTCATGTGAGAAAGTCTTGTAGGACACTCTTGGTGGACACTCTTGTAGGACACTCTTGTGGGGCACTGTTGTAGGGCAATCTTTTCGGACATTCTTGCGGGAGACTCTTGCGGGACACACTTGTGGGGCACTCTTGTACGTCACTCCTGTGGGACGCTCTCGTAGGACACTCTTGTGGGACACTCTTTCGGAACTCTCTTGTAGGACACCATTGTGGGACACTCTTGTAGGAGACTCTTGTCGGACTTTTGTCGGACATTCTTGTGGGACAATCTTGTGGGACACTCCTGTTCACTCTTGCGGAGCACACTTGCACTCTTGTAGGACACTCTTGTGGGACTCTCTTTTGTGTCGCTCTTGTGGGACACTCTTGTAGGAGACTCTTGTCGGACTTTTGTTGTCGGACACTCTTGTGGGACACTCTTGCTCTTGTGGAAACCTTTTGTAGAACATCTTAAGATATGCAGGCATCTGCAGGCTCATGGGTCTCAAACATCTGGCGCCTCATGGCTGCCCTGATTATCTCCATCACCTCATGGATGAGATTTGATGCGCTCTCCCCAGCATCATTCCTGTGCTCATAGATGCCACCTCATGCAGCAAAAAACGTCACCCACCATCACCCTACCAAAGCAACCAAATTCAAATCCAATCAGTGCCAAAAGGATTCTCACTCACCTCATCCACTCCCACCTGCATCCTCAGCAGATCTTTGAATGTGCGTATGTAGCACAATGTGCAGAAACTCATCCAAACCATGATGGAATGCACCTCATCAGAGGCCATGCACCTCATGGTGTCATGCTCATAGAGCAGCCATGACCTCATCAGAGGCGTCCTCATCTCCACGCTGCAAGGAGGTTTCTTCTCATCCCACCCATTGCCCACCAATCCCCTCAATGAGGTGAACCTCATCTTCAAATGCCTGATCTTTTCCCTGATCAGAGGGCCGTTGTAGTCCAATCTCACATCAATGCTGGCCATCCCCTCATGAAGCCCATCCACTGCCTGGACGACCTCATCCTTCATCTTTTTGAGGTACATCCCCAGGCCATCCATCATGGCACCAATGCCACTCCTGCCCGTGGCCAATGCTCCCATGGCACCAATCATTGCTGCTTATGGGCTGATGAGCTGATGATCTGATCTGAACAAGCTGATGTGCTGATGAACCAAACTCTATGGTAATTCATGGTTTTTCTCATACCCACCCCCATGATGCTTCTCATACCTACCCCCTGGTCCGTCTCAAACCTATCCCATTCCATCCGTTTCATCCCCTCCCATCCCTTGCCATCCCTTCCCACTTCAAGCCCGTCATCCTCATCACCTTCATCAGCCAATGCCCAAAAGGCATTGTGGAGAAGAATCCGCATGGTGGTTATGAGACTACCTCTCCTGAGCCACAAACAAATTCCTCTCATGCCTGGGTTCCTATGAACTCATTGTTTCCTATATGGACTCTGGCCTCACGCTCATCAGCTCATCCCCTCAAACACTGGTATCATCCTTTTTGGTCCAATGGTCTCCAAGCAGATTATTCAGGGGAGGTGGACCTCATGAGTGGTATCTCATACCTCCTTGGCCTTGTTGACCTACCATGTGGGGGTGTTATTAATCCGGTCTTGACATTACAGTGCAAGCGGTGAATCAAACCACATGCCCCAAATGAGCCCAAAGAACCGCTGGGGGCCATTCTGAAGACCCAGCCACTGGACAGTCGCTTGGGGACATGCTTCTTGTGGATCAACTTTCTATGGTTCCCTTTCACGCGAGGCCCAAACTGTACAAGTGCGCTTCATCATTTGCTGAAACCTTTCAAAACCAATTTGGGATGCAAATGGCTGTGAGCGAATTCTCGGTGGGCACCAGTGACTTGGATGAACAGGGCATCCTGATCTAATTTGGGTTGGTGTGGTTTGCTTGTTCATGGCTCAGTTTAGTTTGGACACCATTGCAGTCGGTGTTTTTGTTCATTGTTTTGCTTGGTACTACCGCAGGAATTAGTTGGATTCTTTAGGCATCCCTTCACGCTCCACAGAGTTCGCATCAGTGTCATAAGTGGCATGTTTGAGTTTCAGCCTTGAACTGGACAGGAAGTGTTCATTGTCGAAGAATCCAGCATTGCATGAGTCATTGCATGAGGCGAAGACGCACTTTTTGCTTGTCGCGATCGAAAAGTCCTGATGGCATTTTTACAAGAGCAGCTCAGTGCTTGGGATGCTTTTGGGATACAGGCAAGCTCCAGTTTGCTGCTCGAGTTTGTGTGTCGACTCTAAACAGAACTATATAGTAAGATGTCAACTGCGCGCACATGGACCGAAGGGTCACCAACAGACCGACAGATTCACTGGCAACTGACAACGGACCAGTCAATTCAGCTGATCAGGGATTTTTCTGGACTTGGCGCATGCCCTTTGGAAAGATCTTCGAGCCTGGATGGAGCCTCCGATGGCTTGCAGGTCTAGAAGAAACAGCTGCTTGATCGAAAGAGAAAGAAGGGTATCCCAGCTGGTCTCTCAGTTTCCTGATGTGTACGTCATAGAGGTTGGAAAGTACATAAAGCAAAGGGTGAAGGCGCCCACATGAACAGTATAACAGATGTGGACTGGCACCACGCCCCTGTACTAAATAGAGCTCTTGAGGCCAGGTGGGTTCAACAAGGGATAGGAACTTTGGGGAAGATCCAAGCTGCCAGCGTTGGCCAAAATCATTTTGCCCACTCTCCATGTATATATACAGCTTTTGTTGGAAGAGACACAATCAACATCCTTCCTATGTATACATAAATCTACTGTGGAACCTCATGTTGGAGCAGGGTCAGAGCCCTATGGCGCAGACGGGACCTGCACCGCAGCAACCAGCTGCCCAGCAGCTCAACATGGGACAGGTTTGATTGATTGGGTTCTCAGCTGCGTCAGTGGATGGTGGTGAGAGATGGATGCAAAGTTGCAAAACATTTACAAACACAAGTATATAATTGTATTGATATACACATACATACAGTACTTGGTTAGTGCAGTTCCATGCCGCCAATCCAATGGGGCTCTGGATGGGGTGGCTGGAAGAGTGAGGTAAGCTTCATCGAAGACCAAAAAATTATATTGATATACTCTTCCTTTCTGGTCTGCCAGTCAACTGTTTGTATTGGTGTACCAAAGGGAATATTTGGTTGTATGTTTGTATGTTTGTCATGCTTATTGATGCAAGTTCTTAAACGTCTTGGCAGTCCATGCTCCCCGTGATCCCTATTGACACACGTAAGTATTCATAAGCATTCATGGTTTCAGAGATGGACGGCTTGTATTCAAAGCGGTTCGTATAATGCACCAGAGTCGGTAATGTGCGGACAAGCAAACATTTGCAGGCCAACCTACCTTGCTTCCAGTGACCAGACGATCCTTGAGATGGAGTGACTTCTTGAAGTCTCACCCAACTTATATGGTTTGATTGAGAATTTCAGCATCGTCAATGGTGCATGTCAATGGACATCGTTTCTGGCTGTAAAAATGATCTCCGCCAGCTGAAGGCTGGAAGAAATACTTTGTGCTTGGCAGGTACGACTTCCCAGACAGCCAGACCAGCAGCGGAGTAGCTTCGGCGATGAAAAACTGCTTCGGCTCCTCCGCTTTGCGATGCTGCCTCGGCGCCTCACCTTTCCAGGGGTTCAAAGGAGCAAGGACGCTACTAGGGGCTCCTGGCATCGCTACAAGGGAATTGTTACTACTAGCAACAAGAAGCTGCTAGGGGCTCCTGGCCCTACTACTAGGAGCAAGGACGCTACTAGGGGTTCTTGTAAGTTCTTGCCCCCATTGTGGGTGTGTGTGTATAAATATATAATGCCTCGCCGATGACCTCGTGTCATTCCATGTTTGTTTTCGCTCACGCCCCCCCTAACGACCCCGGAGAATTTCCACGTTTTCACCATCAACCAAGTTGATACTACGTTGGGGATGGGGTGGGGTGGGGATGGGGTGGGGTCTGTTAACGTTCGCTTGCACTTGCAAACCAAGTTGATGCTACGTTGGGGATGGGGTCTGTTAACGTTCGCTTGCACTTGCAAACCAAGTTGCTGCTACCAAGTTGATACTACGTTGGGGATGGGGGGTGTGTTAACGTTCGCTTGCACCGCAAATGGTCATCCCTGAAGAAGCTTATCCCGAAAGAGTTGGCGTCCAAACGATCCAATGGCGGGTTGGATGCACAGATCCACGAATATATGTATAGCGTTGTGTGGCGCTGTAATACACCGTCTAAGCACCAACTGCAGAAGTTGGGTCAGATGGCACAGAAGGTGTGGAACGCCTGAAAAGGAGTGGCACGCCTGAAGGAGTGGAAGTGTGTTAATGCTTCATGAAAAAAGAGAAACGATTACTGTAAACGTCTGTTTTTAAACTTCCGGGTCCCCGAACGAAATGTCATTTCACAATGGAGTTACGATTTGAGAGGCGTTTTGTGGTGTAAAAACGCATACAAACTGACATTGATCTAAAAGAGGCATCGCCATAAAGTGCCAGAACGATTGTGAAAACGACTCGAAGATGCATGTGAGAACGCGCAAATCGCGCGGGGCCGTTGCAGTGGGCGTGACCTTGTTTTCTCCTCCCTATCGTGGCTTATTCTATTCCCAAGCAACTTGCTACGTGGTGCACATTTAGGAATAAACATTGTATCAGTTTTTCACTATTGAGTTGGAGGCCAATACTATTAGGTTGGAGGCTATCATTATGAGGTTGGAGGTCATTCCTATTCGGTTGGGGGCCATTTCAGATCCCATTCAGGTCCCAACACATGATCACACCGTGATCAAACCTTGTGATGCAACGTTTGCAGCACGCCTGTGTCTCCGAGGTTGGGCGGATCAAAGCTGTCACTGGTATGGGAGCTTAGGTAGCTCAAACAGTTAGAATTGTTTGGCGGTTCCAGCGAAGATGTCAACCGGTGTTTTAAAGAATTAGGTTTTTATATATCTATATATATACAGAATATATAATATATATAATATCTTAATCAACCCAGCTTCGCAACCCACCACCAGGTAGCAGCTCAATTGACTGGAACTTTTCAATCACTCCAACTATGCGTTGCCAAAGCTCCAATGCAACCCCAATCGTCTTGTGAAATATAAAGGGAACTGGGGAGCAGGAACTGGGGAACAAAACGGGAGCAGGAACTGGGGTCCAGAGCAGGCAGGAGGAAAGCGCGTCAGAACAAAAACGTCCTTCCCAGCACAAAGGTGTGTTGCTAGGTACGTGCAAACACCTGCCGCACTATTAGTCCTACTAAGGTTACTGCGAAGAAAGAAAATTTCAGACAGCACGCCACAAGTGCAACCGCACAGAAACATCCTGCTATGTGCAAGTGCCTGTTGCCTCGCTGCGCATAAACCGTGTTTTGCGCGGCGCAAACTGAATGCTCCGCAATGGGGCCACAATGGCACACCACAAATGTATAAGCCTAACTTGTTTGCTGGCCAGGTACAGAAACACCCTGCTAAGTACATGCGCACGCCTGTGGCATTGCTGCGCATAGGATAATTTTGTGGTGTGTAGAAAGGATTCTTCGCAGCCAGGGCGCCGTCGCAGCAACATCCTGCTAGGTACACGCAAGCCTGTGGCATAGCTGCTCATAGAACATATAGTTGCTAGCTTTAATCGGATGTTAATGCTCCGCAACGGAGGCAGGAGGCAAGTGGAAAAATTGCTGCGCAAAGGTATATGGGACCCCATATGGTGTGTATAAGAATGAACTCTCCGCAATGGAGGCAGGGGGCACACCGCAAAAAAAAACTGTTTCCTAACGGCGAAAAATGGCGCGAACCCTGGTTGCAGAAACGGCCTGCCAAGCACACGCAACTGCCTGTCGCTTGGTGGCGCATCTAACTTTGGTATTGGTGCGGAGAAGGGAATCTCAGCAATGGAGGCAAACGGCGCAACTACAACAGGTGCACAAACTGTTGCCTGCTGCAGAAACTTGTGAAGTACGCGCAACTACCTGTGGCCTTGCTGCATATGCAACAAGAGGTTGCTGTAGTGGAGACAGAAAGCGCACTACAAGTGAAGAAACTGTTGCGGTCGCAGAAAGGCCCTGCCCGACACATGCACCTCACAACGCTTGAAGGTGCCATTCTGAACCCCTGACAGCAGCTTCAAGGTGATAGCGCCCAGGGTTCCAAAATTCCACGGTGACACCTGACAGCAAGGGTTCCAGCGCTGTTGCGCTGGGGTCAGCCAAAATTCCACGGCGACCCACAGAGATTGAAACCCAAGCTGTGCCCATATTCAATGACAATGCAGGTCGAATCGGTTTCACATCCAATCCAGGCAAACAGCAAAATCTAAAGTGCAAACAGATCAACACCAGCCAAGTTCCAAAGTGGGACACTAAGCACTGCCACCAAAATCATAGTCTCACGATATCTCCGATATGTTTGTTTGTTTGCCCTGCACTCCCCCGAACGCTGCACGCAAGGATTGAATTCCGGTTTTCAAGCCCTGTAGCCAAGCCTTGTAAACAGACTGCGCACCCTAGGTTTCTTGGAAACTGTCCACCACCAAGCCCAGACAGCGCCCAAGGTTGCAGACAGCTGTATACAAACCGCGTGCCACTGGAACCTTGTGTGCTGCTTGGGTTCGGCGGTGCGCAGTTTCCTGGAACCCAAGGTCCCAGCTGCTCCCTGGGGGTCTATCTGGGCTAGGGGTGGCGCGCAGTTTGTCTACAGCTGTCCGGAATGATGTTGGTTGCTGTTTTGGGCTTGGTGGTGCGCAGTTTCGTGGAACTATAGGTGCTGTCAGGAACCCGGGCGCCGTTAGCGCTAGAAGTTTCTCTACGTGGCAGCACAATTTCCGGTTTCTGTTGGGAATATTACTGCAATTACAATGTAGGTTTTTTGCACTTATTGTCAAGATGCACGAGTGAGGTTTGATGAAGGCGTTGCTATTCCATGTTCACAATTGGCTTGGAATCTCCAGACTTCTGCAGGCCAGGCTCCTCATTTGGGTTGCGGGTCAGGATCCCCCAAAGGAAATGTTTTGTTGGATATGGGGTTGTGTGTTTTGTCAATTTCCAGCCATGCTTGCCCTCAGTTTTCAGACCAGGAGAATACAAACAGCAATTGTAAGAAAGTGTGGAGTTGCAGACCGGATCTGAGCACGACCAATATGAGAGCAGAGCTTGGTTAGGCGGTGCACAAAGTGGGCGCAAAGAGCCATGTGGAAACTGTCAGCACGGCACTCAGAGAATCTGGCAGATTCTGGGAAGTGCGAAAAGAGGATTTGAAGTTTTGCGGCTTTGCACGTTGGGAAAATGCATGAAAGGCGATCATCCGCCAATTACAAACAAACCGACTCCATGTTTCTTTTGGTTGCTCCACTGTGAAATCCCCTGGGCAGTTTGTCCGAATAAGCAAAAAGAGTTCGTTTGACATTGTATTTTTTATGTGATACATGATGTGTGTGATTGTCAAGAAATGATGCGTTTTTGGGGATCGGTAGGTAGGGCATGGAGAGGAGATTTGTGGTATTAGTTTAAGCCTGTTAAGCCGCAGGTAGTCGGCGCTGAGAGCAGCATAGGTTGAGTGGAATTTGTGAAAAGTTCGAAATACATTCATTCATAGCGACTTGTTTTGCTCGATACTACCTACCAACAGCCCTTTGAAGGGTTTCCTTGCGGCCCTGACATGCCCTGGCAGTAAGGGCCAATTATTCAGTACGCTTTCAAATGCCAAAGGTAAGTGTTTGGCAATGCAATGCAACGCAGACGTCTTATTGTACAAATTAAAGAACTGTGAGAAAAGTCAAATCTTGTTTCTCACATGCGGAAGATCTTAACTCATGCAAGGTGTCGCACTTGCTGAACCGCTGCGTAGCACAAAGCTACAGTAGAAGCATGTTTCGTGTTTATCGTTTGGGGATGAAGGGGGACAATGTCTCTTCAAGCCATACCTCTTGACATATTACACAAGCAGTCATCAATCTTCTGCAGCTGGAGGGTGGATGAGCGTGCAAATCATTGGTTGCGCCGGCTCGTTTGTGGAATTGTGATCAAAGATAGCAAACTGCCAAGCTAGCTTTGGTTCAGTGTTGATTGTTTTGGAATGGCTAGTATCTATGATTTGAGTTGCTTGGCGTTTGGTATTTTGAGAATTCAACGAGAGTTTGTTTGGTTCAACCCTGGTGAGAAGGAGCTGTGACAGTTCACCTGTACTATCAGTTACTACCAGAAGACATGTTTATATACCGTACAGAAACTGGACAGCTTGCAAAACACATGTTAAGGACATCACTGGGTTTAAGCGTACTTGTGTCGTTCTTCATAGTTATACATTGGGAAGCAGGTGGCCTTCCGTGCTGTGGTAAGGGTGTACAGCGTACAACTGCTTTGTTGGAGTTCGCATCCGGGTACTTTTAGCTCACAGTTCATCAACAGCACTCACTTCGCTACTCAAAAAAACAAGTTGTTTGGCTTTGTCGTTTGTAGAAAAGCGGGTCCTGTGGGAACTTGGCACTTGGCGCCCATGCCCTTGTGCGCCGTGCTCATTTTGAGAGTCCTGTCTCATGTGGCTTCCACACAGTGATGCAAGGCCATCGCTTGTAGGTTGGAGTCCATCGCTTCTATGTTGGAGGCCATCGCTAGTAGGTTGGAGGCCATCGCTTGTAGGTTGGAGTCCATCGCTTCTAGGCTGGAGGCCATCGCCAGTAGGTTGGAGGCCATCACTTCTAGATTGGAGGCCATCCCTAGTAGGTCGGAGGCCGTCGCCAGTAGGTTGGAGGCCATCACTTCTAGGTTTGAGGCCATTGCTAGTAGGTTGGCCATCGCCAGTACGCTTCTAGGTTTCAGGCCATCACTAGTAGGTTGGAGGCCATCGCCAGTAGGTTGGAGGCCATCGCTTCTAGGTTTGAGGCCATTGCT